AAATTTAAAATATCAAATTTAAATCAGCACAAATATCAAATTTAAAATGCGACACTGCTTATTACCTTTAACGAATTATCGAACGACGATGTGATCATATACAATCCCTTCGAATCCACCTTCAAACCGGACACAAGCGAGTTGTGTGCTGCGATCGGTTTCAGAGCACGACGTATACGCAAATCCCATACCATACAACTGTTATCCGCTGATCCAGTTACCATCTGATAGCTGAATTACACGACCCAATAAACATAAGCTTGAAACTGATATCGAATTGAAGGCGGCTCACTGGAGAAATCCTTCGACAAGACTAATAATCAAGCTTCTAGTTGGAACAAACACTATTGCGTGAAATGCTGTTTTTCATATTATTGAACTGTAAACGATAAACAATTAAATAAATGATTAATATACACGATAAATTATTATTATTAATACCCATTGGGAAGCCACTGTCCACAATGAATTTCCTTGGAATGTCCTTCCAAAAACATCACACATCGACCAGTACGTAAATCCCACACTCGACCATAACAATCCATACCTCTGCAACATCAATTCTCAATCGACTAGTTCACTGATTATGAATCGAAAAGATTTTCCACTTTATGAAACATTATTATTACTTAAATAATGGATCAATTTATTTCAACTCAAATAATTCATTTAAAAATAGGGCAAATATTCGTGATTTGTAACAATTCAGAGCATGTTTCGGTAAGAATATGAAAAAAAAAACGATTTCTCCACTCTACTCCACCACTAGTAAGTTCAGGTTTTTTTTAGAAAAACGAAGAAAGAGTTCAGCTGTTACACGTGAATTCGCTTACAATGTCAACAAAAGTGAGCCATCTCCTTGAAAATCAGCATGGAACACTGGACGACTATGTCCTTCTTGGATAAGAATCTCTTGTTCGTATTCCAAATCAGTGAGTCGCCATGAACAATCGAAACTGCAATTCAAAACATTACCTAGTTTAGGAGCAAATCAGCAACTGGTGAAAAAAGAAAACAAACAAAAAACAACTAGAGACTGCCATTAGATTACCATAGCGGGCAAAGAAATTCTCAATCGATTCCTCATAAAATTCTTTTCCAATTCACCCACTTAACTGAAATAAAGTAAGAAAAAAAAAGGCCCAACTAACCAACACGCTGCTAAAAATCTTCCGGATGGATGAAACGCGATTCGTGCCACACGTTGCGGGAGTGGATCAAGTTCGCAGAGTGGCTCACTTGCCTCTAAACTCCACAACTTGATGGTGCCGTCATGTGCACAACTGGCCGCGTTCACCGCGAATGAATCTTGCGATATGTATGCGCCGGGATGGAACCGAGCGCAACCCGCTTGACTTGTATGACCGGTGTACTTACGATCGCGTTCACAACTCGGTATTGTCCAAACACTGCATTCGCCTGACCTCAAATCAAATTCCAAATAAATCAACCAGAACAATTGTCAGTTACTCATGAACAATTACTCAACAACTGCATCACTTCCTCGGTGATACGACAACAGGAACAATTTTCCATCTTCTTACCAAAACATACTCTGAATTCTAACAAATTGCAAATATTTGCCCTATTTTTAAATGAATTATTTGTGTTGAAATTATTTGGTGCATTATTGAAGTAATAATAATAATGTTTCATAAAGTAGAAAATCTTTTCGATTCATGATCAGTGAACTGAGAACAATCAAAATGAAAACACTAAAATATTAGCATGATGTGAAGAAATGATTGCAAGCACTATGATGTAATAATAATATTACTGTTACTGTCATCCAATCATCACCAAATTCAAACGGTTGGAGAATCGGTAATATTTCCATG